ACCTTCAAATCTGCCTAGTAATTCTTCTCCCAATCATAATTTCTGTTAAGAAAGAAACCGATTTCTAAAATGCTAGTTAATTCGGAGCATAAGGGTTTTCGAAAGTACAGACCGAATTTTGTCTTGATTTACTGAGGAAGAAAGCTGTAAAATGGAATAGCGTGAACTCATATTTTTTGCCTGGTTATACATAAAACAAAGCAAAACACGTCAAAAAATTGACAAATGTTAGAAAAGTCACGTGACTACCCTAGTCCCTTAGGGAAGAAATAAACCTCCGAAAAACTTACCGACATGAACGACGGTAAAGTTAAGTCAATATTGCGAAGACTAGACAACTTGCATTCCAATTTATTACCTAAAACTATCATAGTAGTTACATGTTGCAACGGCATATCATACATATACCAAGTTTCATATATCACGTCATCTGCAATACTTCTACTCTAATTTAAGAAATGGATATAAATTGTTAGTATCAAATGATTAGAGTTTTTTAAATTATTCAAGTAATATATCAACTTTATAATCACTGTGCAGTCAATTTTGTGCTTTGTGATATTAATTAATAGAATCTTACCGCTTCTAGTAATTCTTGCATACAAAAGCACAGTACGTAAAACTGCGTTAGAGCTCCAACCGTATATAATATAATCAAATATTTCTGAAAGTTCATTGTAGAAACCTGCAAAAATACACTTGTTTAGGAACAAGATTAGCAGAAGATTTACATGAAATATATCATTAGTGCTTTTACCCCTTCACATAGAAAGTGTCTTTTCTCAGAGACTCTTGTAAAGACGTACAGCTTTTTGTTAAATTTTATTGCGATACATATAGAACAAGTAAACGGCAATTTCGAATTGGATGCGCTGGAAACCCCGTCCGTAAAATATTAAAATAATAAACAATTAGAGTTCTGTGAAATGTTACTGAGTATTCTCGATGATGATTAAAATTATAAAATAAACTCAAGACTGTACGATGTACACGAATAGAGAAAAAGATCTCTTGTAACAATGAAACACTATCGTATGAGAAGATATGAAGAGGTGAATTTTTGAGCGTGATGCCTTAATAAAAAGAGGAAAAAGATTACTTAGATCAAGGAAGAGTTAGGAAAAGGAAAAGGAATAATAAGAAGGAATAAGAGAAGAAAGGAATAATAAGAAAAGGAATAATATGCAGCTCAAGGACAGAACGTAAATATGACTGATCGCCGTCGATCAATACACATCAATGAAGTGGTTTAGCTATAAGAAAATTGTGTACTCACTTAAATTATTTTTGCAAATTATTTTATTGCATTTACAAATTATGTACTCGTCAGTTATATACTTAAAATATTTTGTATCACTAAAACAATGTGAAACAAAGTAAAATTTCAGTTTTCGGTACAGTAATTAGTAATATTTTTGTAATGGCCATTGTAATATATATCATCAAATTTGCTTTTATTTGTTTTTATTTAGTCATTACGCACATTGTTTTAGGTTCGTTCACAAAAGTTGAAAAATATGCATACCGTAACCAACATAAAACCTAAGAAGCAGAATCGGAAAACGTAATTTATGTAGAGAATTCCAACGTTTGGAGACAGTAATTTCTTCAGTATGGTAGTCAACCTAAAATAAATTTTTTTATTATACACTACTGTTATAATAATGATTGAATCTATACAATTTCGATTGCCATATATTGTCATTAAATCCATGTGACAACGGAATCATTAATTCTTGCTAAACTGAATATAGCATATCAGTGCGTACTATTTGGGATGAATTGCAAATTAAATAAAGAGAGCATGGAAATAAACTAGCAGAAATCGAGAAAAGATATTGAACTGAAAAGAAACATCTAATTGACTGATACACGGTGCATTAATTATTTAAATGTATAAGCAATAGCGTTAATGAATTGAAATCTTGAAGTGAAAATTAACAGCAGTTTAACAAGAAACATACTGTTCATATAATAGTTCATTCAAAACTTTAGCTAACAGGTGTCCATATAATAGAGTAGTCAGATAATGAGTGTTCACATACGAGAAGTCTATTTTGTCCTCTTTCGACAATAGGAAAATATATATAGTAACCCCACATTAATATTTGTTCACGAGCGCTGCACGGGGGAACGTCACATCGAAGTCAATACTCACGTCCCTACACGCGCTCGCATCGGACAGTGTTTTTCGTTAATAATTAAAAAACGGAGTTTTGTCGGCAAAGGAAAAAGTTGTTCAGAATTGTCCCTCGAGGCACTCCCTCTCGCGTCTACTACTAATTGTGGGAAACCCTGTGTGTTTTAAATTACCAATCATACTCGGCCAGTAGAATATCTCTCTGGTTAAACGTAAACATTTAGGGGCACTTTCACCAAGTTCCGAATAGTTTGAGTCACGATTAAGTGTAGCCAATAAAAGATTTTTTAAATATGAGTATCTTTAAACATTGTGATCTAATGTAAAAATTGTTGAACTGTTTGTTATATATCACATGTTAAAATGTATTACATGTATTACGAGCGATCTCTACTTTCAAAATGATAATCACTTAAAGGCTACACTTAAGGGTATACAGGAGTCAAACTAGTACCCCTGGCGGAAAAACGGGGAACTA